CACTTTGACATTAGGAAAAGCAATGGCCTATCTCCTCAACAGCCAAACGCACCAGTAAAATCTCACTGTACAAATGTATGTGCGTATACACACATCCACCCACATACCCCCAAGCAGCAAAGTGACCCAGCACATAAACAAACACAGCTAACATGACAGACAAGATGAACTCACACAAAGACAGTATACTTAGAGAAGAGGCCACACAGACACACACAGATGTGTATACAACAGACACACACTCAGAGACACACAAATGCACACAGGTGTATATTTACAAACACAGACAAACACATACATGCACACAGACTCAGGCACATACACTCAAGAGACATGGATACACGCCCAGACGCACACACCCAGACATACACTTAGACTAACACACAAAGATCCACACCCAAATATATACACATGCAGAAACACATACACTCACACAAACGCACACACAGAAACAAAACACCAAGACAGAGAAACACACTCAGACACACACAGAAGGGTTCAAAAAACATTCACCACAATGTTGACAGGCTTTAAGTCAGGGCTATGAAATTCAGATATTCCTTGCTTTTGCCACTGTGCTAGTTAGCATTTTCTATGATGAGCATGTAATTGTGTAAAAAAACACACAAACCCACCAGTGCCTGAGCGGGTGGGGTGGGGCTGGGGGCGTGTCCTAGCACAGGCTAATTCCCTGGTGGGCTCCACCTGCGGGCTGGGTGATGCAGGGTAAGTAGCCTGGGCCCACACACCCCTGCCCCAGCCACCAGCCTCCTCCTGCCGTTTGTAACCCAAGGAGGACAGCGAGGCCTGCCTGGAAAGCCGGCCCTGGAAGAGGCCCCACTCCCCGCCCCTCCTAGGGGCTGAGGCAGGTTCTTGTCCCTGCAGGATCTCTCTCTCATGGAGATTCCAAGGGCTGTAACTAGAAGCCCAATCCCAAATACTAACTTGATACACAAGTTAACAGTAACCAGAAAGCCAAGGTCCCCACGCCACAGACCAGTACTTTGCTGTAATTGCCAAGTTTTAATAATGTCCCTCTACTTCGTGGTTTGTAAAATTCACATCTTTAAATATTAATATTCCTGAAATAATAATCCCCAAATCCAGCAATTTCATATTTAACTGCTATTTAATGGAATTAATTTGTAACTGATGGTCTTCAAATATGCAAAGCAATTTAAGTAAATGCCAAAAGATAAGAAATAAGTAGATCCTGACTAAGCAACTGATGTCAAGTATCAACCATATTCCTGTCGGGCAACAGTATGAAACAGAGCCCTCTGTACCTCACGCCCCGCCCCACCCCTGGCTCCTGGGCACACCCTCGGCCTGGTTTCAGGGGAGCTCCCCTGTCAGGAACGTTCCCCATTAAGCTATATGAACGTGATGTATGAGTGACCCTTGGCTAAGGCCACCTGGGCCCCCACATACCTCCTTCTTTCCCTTCCCAGTCAGCATCTCTCTCAGAACAATCGGCGCGGACACAGATCTAGCAAGTCTGACTTTGCCCCCAGGCTGCAGGGCCAACCCTTCAGGCAGCTGTGGTGGCCAAAGCTCACAGGAAGAAGCCTCTTGTCCTCCTGACTGCAGAACTGTCCCTCCACCTCAGCCGTGCCTCACCCAGCCCCAGCCCAGCCCGGCCATGCCCTTACCAGGACCTGACCATGAGCCTGACCCCATCCTCTGGCCACAGCCCACAGAGGAGCCTGCTCCTTCCACACCTCCTGTGGGAACTGTCCCTGCTCCAATCCAGCCATACATGGGAGCCAGGGCCTGGGCCAGAGCCCAAACTCAGCCAGAGGCCTGGCAGACCATCCCTACCTCTCCCTTCACCTTGGCTCCCCAGGAAGGACAAAGCTACACCCCTTGAGTCTAGGGAGCCCAGGCCATGGGGAGACCCCAGTGCACGTCCACCATCCCTACCCCATCTCTGGCTCCCTGTTCCCCTTGCTCCTGGTCCTCTACCAACCCCACCACTGCAAGACCTGGCACACTCCCTGCTGCGGGCAGCAGGCCTGGCCCTGATCTGGGAACGGGGAGGGAGCTCTGAGGACTTCCAGGACCAAACCCACAGCCCTACCAACACTGAGCCCCAGTGTGACAGACTCGAGCGGCCAACCCCGAGAAGCCACACTTGGAGGGGTCACGGGCTGCTCACTCAGCGGGAGTAGGACCCAGAGGATTGGACATAAGTGGACGGTGAGACCATTGTTCTGCCAAGCTCCCTCCTCTCCCAGGCCAAAGGATGAAAGCAGCCTGGGACGGCCATCAGCACAAACTGAGAGGACAAATCTGAACTTCTGCTAAAGCAGGTCAATCAGGATCCAAGATGGGATGTGTTGCAAGAAAGTTCAAAAGGGCCACACCCCACAATTCCAGGAATAAGGCACTTCATTAGGGCAGCAAGAAGCACCGGTGATAAAAAGCAGTTGAGCACTAGAAAGTAGGACAACAGCAAGATTCCTCTTGCTTAGGAATCAGGCTATAATTATCCCCACCAACAGCTGGAGCTGCTGAGGGCAGACAGGTGAGCTCCACTGAACTGCAGTTGCCCTCAAGGACAAGAGCCTCCCCAGGCTGGCACTGAGGCCAGGAGGTGGCAGAGTCGAGGTACCAACAACCAGTGTAGGTGGAAGGCAGGGGGCTGGGCTGTAGTAGGTCCCAGGAAAACATATGTGACTGCAGGGAAAGCACGGTGGGTGGCTGGATGCAGAGGCTGGGCCGGGGTCAGTGCCCATGGACGTGTAGTGGGGTGGAACTACACTGCACAGTAGGATGGGAGGCCCAGAGGGAGGCATAGGGGACAAGCCCCCAGGGGACAGGAGGGGAGGGAGAATCACAAGCAGGCCAAAGGACCCCAAAGCAGAGAGACACACAGGGCGGCTCTCACATGCAATACATCAGCCAGGCCAGGAAACTGAGCCCCACTCATGGGAGCACCTCATTGTCAGCCCCCCTCTGGACAGGATCATGGGTTGGAGAGGGACCCCCCAGCTCCTGGGGGAAAATGTGCAAAGTTAGAGCAGCCCCTGGTTCTCTAAAAAGCCTCCCAAATGCTGACCACGTCGGTGGGGCTGACCAAGCACAGGATCCTCTGGGCTCTTGGCAGGGGCTGCAGAGACTCGGGAGGAACAGGAAACAGAAGCTGGGGTCTGCTCATGGAGGGAGAGGTTGGGTTCACAGCGGGACGACTGCCAGGGGGGTCAGGATGACAGTGATAATGTCCCTGAGCCTCCACCCCAACCCACCTCTCTCCAGGAAACCTTAGGGAGCAGCCAGCAGTGCTCCGCTCTCGGGGCTACATCCTGAGCTCCCCCAAGAACCAGGCCTGCCACACCACCCACCAGACCTGTTCTGCGGTGCTGAGCAGGCATTATCTGCAGCAGAAACCTCTGGAGGGCAAGCAAAGACACAGCCTGAAGCCCCACAGCTCACCCACACCCAGAGTCTTGTAATCAGCCATCCTCAAGTCTCCCTGGCCCACTGCACAGAGAGACTGAGACGCGGCTCAGAGGGGCAACGGGACTTGATGGGGTCTGCTCACGAGTGACCATTTACCGAACACCAGCTCCACGCTAGGCTCCAGATGAGTGGATCTCATTTTATCCCGACAGGTCTAAGCATGCCACACATGGCGAAGCCAAGGCTCAGAGGACAATTTCTGCTAAGGTCACAGAGCTGGCCAGCAAGGGGCCATCAGGGCTCCCTCCTCCTAGCTCAGGGCCCTCCCGGCAAAGCAGAGAATGAAGCAGAGGCTGGAGGGGCCGGCCCATGGGACCACAGAGCCATCCCCTGGTGTAGGTGGAGGCAGGTGAGCAGGATGCTGAGCACCGGCACCTGGCAGTGCTGGAGTGACCAGAGGAGGCCTGACTTAGGACAGGCAGCAGCGGGTTATGCCCTGCGACACACACGCCCTCCAAGGCCCTAGGAAAGACAGCATCTCCATGGCCAGCATTTCAACGAGCTGAGCTAATTGCTGCCAGCGTGGGAGATATGGCTGCTCTGGGAAAACTCCCAAGAGGATGCGGAGATTTGAGCGATGAAAAGAAGCAAACCTGACACCTGCTCCCCCTGCCCCATCTCTCTTATGTGGGGGGAGGGGGGAGTCTTGCATATTTATGAGCTCATAATCCTTCCTAATCACCCAGACATCACACATACACACAAATTCCCGTGGCTCAGGCTCATACATAATTATAAGGCACTTCCTCTGTCATTGCCTCAGTCCACCAAAGGACGACCGAGGACGCAGCAGTGCCGTGTGGTGGGGGAGGGGCTGTGATCAAGGCACAGCAGCCTGGAGGAGCAGGTGCGCACCCCAAGGGCTTGTCTGCTGTAGCCTTGGGCTAGCAACACAGACCCCACAGACCCCCAGGGCCAGCCAACCCCAGCCCAGGGACCCGGCACCTCCATGTTCACAGCGTGAGAGTGGGAGGAGGGTGAGGTGCTGCACTGTGTGCCTAAAATCTGCCCTCCTGCCTGGAGAGACCTAGAAGGGGAAACAGGGTTTGGGGACTAGGCCTGGAGCTCGAATGAGGCGTCTGGGCAGGTAAGGGGGTCCAGACCTAGGGCGAGGGCAGCAGGAGACATGGGGGAGTTATTGCCAGCAGGACTGGGAGAAGTTAGAGGCCAGGAGTAAGGAAAGAGGGCGGATAAGAACAAAGACCACGAACTCAGAGCAGATCCTAGAGGAAAAGCAGGTGCACAAGTGGGGGCCTGCCTGTGCGTACACTGCGGCCAGGGCTCCCCAGGCACTCAGCGGGCCTGCACTCTCGCTATAGAGCTCAACAGAGAAGTGGCATCTGTTCCTTAAAGTAAAAGTTGAAGTGAGTTTAGGCAAATTATTTTCTAAACATTTCCTCAAAGTGTCCAGTCTGACCCCCTTGAGCCTCCTCCTGTTTGTGTATTTCGTGTCTAGTTTGTAGACTGGTAACGGCCTGCTGGTGAAGATGTGAGCTGTGGAGGATGGAGGAAGTAGTTCCCGGGGCCCCAGGACTCACTTGCTGATGCCCTCGAAGGAGGCCTCCCTGCAGACACTGCCGCTGTCGGTGTTGACGCCGCGCTGGGGAGAGAGAGGGAGAGTGAGGGCACAGATGCGTCACACAGGGCTGCGTGGCACCCCACAGCCTGCACTGAAGGCCTGCCTCCTCCAGCCAGGCTCAGAACCAGGCTCAGACTAGGGAAGAACCTGGAGCTCGCACCCCAGCCTGGTGAAGCCATTCCTCCCTGCATTTCAGGTTAACGCCGAGCCGGACCCCGACCCAAGGCAGGCCCTCCTTCTGCAGCATCTTGAAAAGCAGAGAAAACAGGCCTCCTCTGTCAGCACTCTTTGCAGACACCAGTTCAGGCTGCTCAGCTGAGTGGGGTGGGTGGGAAGAGCGGGGACCGAGACCGCCCTCTACCCCAACCTGCTCTCCCACGCTAGCCCCATCTCATGCACACACGCACACCAATGCTCCCCACTGACTGTGCTAAGAGCACTGTCGAATCCAGCCCTTCCAGAGATGCTGGTACAGTCCTCTCCTTTCCCTCGCTGTGAGGACACTCCAAGTGGAACTTGGACAGGAGCAAAGACAAAACAAAAGATTTAGAGAAACGTGCCATCCCTGGAGAGGCAGGTCAGTGTCTAATGGATCCCTCCAATGAAACACACTGGACCATCCGACCACAGTCATCTAGCACAACCTTCCTTCTCAGCCATCCAGACAGCAGAGCGGGAAAGAGAGACCCCAGGAAGTGCTACCAAAAATAACCAAGAAAAACTATTTCTGTAAAAATCAATTAACAAAGGAGAGAAGGGTCACTCTGGGAGGAGAGAAGAGTTATACACTTTTCATGCCTACAGCCCCCCAAGGCCAAAGAAGCACAAGAAAGCAGCCTCCTTCTCTGCGCCCTCGCACAGCCCGAGCGCCCCACAGGCTACAAAGGCACCAGGGGTCACCGAGCAGCCTGGCCCGCCCCAGGCTGCGGCAGGCCATTGGTCATTCAGTGCCTGGGTTCAAAATCTGATGGCCCACAGCCCAGTGTCCTCACAAGCAGATACCATGGTGTGTTTTTCAGATTCTTTTAACAACAGAGGAGACATAGGATGGAAGCAAATTGATATTCTACATCCACAAATCCCAGGAGCTCAGCCTAACACAAACACATCCTCTAGCTGGGGTTTAACCCTTGGGGTGGGTATGGTGTGTTGTCCACAGTGGCCTCACATCCCAGCACATCCCAGGGAGACTGGAGAATCGAGGATGTGGTCCTGGACGTGTCTTGCTGTTCAAACTGAGAAGGTGTCATTACTTATCAGCGTGGACCATTCCTCTCAGGTTCTCAATCCTCAACCTCTGCAGGGGCAGGTGGCTCCCTAAACCCTTTCCTGTGCCCAAACACTGCCCAGACCCTGGACACTTACCAAAGTGAGGAGGACAGAGGGACTCTGTGAGGTCAGCACACTGGCGATCTGAAAGGTCAGAAAGAAAAATCCACTTTAGAGCAACCAAGGAGGGATGGAGATGATACACCACCGTTACCCAAGGACAGCTCGGGTGTATTGAGCAGATCCCTAAAACAGGTGCTGCTGCTGTGGCCCCCAGCCAGCAGACGAGGAAACTGGGGCTCACAGGGAAGAAGGGGCTTCTGAAAGCCACACAGCTGTAAAGTGGCAGAGAGGAATTCAAACCTAAGCCAGGCACACTTCCCCCCATACCATCCCGCCTCCAGGCCCCACGAGGATTCTGGGCTCCAAGCAGCCAGACCCGCCCACCCTCCAAGGCCAGTGCCTCCGCTCATCTGACAAGTAGTCCCTCCCGAAAGACCTGTATGGCAACCTCTTAGGCACTGGTCCCGCTAGCCTCCCATCCCAGGGCAGACACTTTCCTTCCTGCCCCTCATCAGTCCCCCAGCCTGTGGGATGTCAGCCATCCCCAATCCTCTCCCATTCCCCGGCCTGCATCCCCGATCTGCATCCCTCCACCATGGCCCACTCAGGCCTCATGCCCCTGTGTGCTGCTTGCTTCCTACCCCAAGCCCTTGAATGAGCACACCATGCCAACTCCTCTCTCCATGCCTTCCTAGGGCTCTCGCCTCTGCCTGCCATGCCTTCCCCCATCTCAGCCACTTCATCAATTCATACTCAGGACTGAGGCCCCTGCCCCCAGGCAGGTTCATTCACTCCCTCCTCTCTGGCCCCACTGACCGTCATCATTCCCTTGGCCAAGTGCCCATGATGCTGCCTTAGCCATGATGTCTGCAACCCGAGGTGCCAACCACCCTGGTGGGAGCATCTTCTTCCTCTCCTGGCCCCCCACCCCTCAGTCCGCTCCGAGTCTTGGCTACTGCAGCCCCCACGGGATCTGGGCGCCCAGGGCAGAGAACAGTCTCCTCTCTGCAGCCCTTGCCCCTCCCCACAGACCCACCAGAAATGCTTTAGTGCCCAACATAGGGCGAGAGTGAGGAGGATCTGCTGTTTGTTGTTTTACAGCTTTACTGAGCTGTCACTGACATATTCTACACTGCACATATTTAAAGTGCACATTTTGATAGTTTTGAGATGTGTATATATGTGCTTTTTAATACTGAGAGGCTCACAGGGAAAACCTGGAAGATACTGAAAACTATAAAAACATAAAACACATCTACAATCCCATCCCCAGAGACCTTTTATCTCTGCACATAAAAACAGAGATCTGTAATGACATTTGGATCATATGAAGTTACACGCTTCACTTATTCCCTGTCATTAAATATTCTCCAAGCCCACGGTTTTTACGGTCACTACCACTGGGGACGGTGAACGTCCAGTGAGCCCTTGGTCATGCCTGTGCCGGCACTTCAGACGGCGTATCATTTAACCACCATGAGCCGGTGCTGCAGACATCCAGACTTCACATTGAGAAAGGCTTACAGGTTCGACTACCTGCCCAGGTTTCCAGTTAAAAAAGAGTAGCACCCAGAGCTAAACCTACGGCTGTGAAATATTCTCTTACTAGATATGGCATAAGTTATTCATTCTTCTGTTGGACACAAATAATTTCTAAGGATTAACTATGATAAATAATGCCCTGGTGAACATCCTTGTACATGAGCCTTTATTTCCTTAGATAAATTCCGTAAACATTTTATTTCCTTAAAACAAACAAACAAATCCGACCCAGTGAAACTTCTAGATGAAAAGCCATATACTTTGTCAAGATTTCTGATGCTCAAGGCCAGATGCCCTCCAGACTGAACCAACCACCTCCCACCAGCGGTGCCTGAGGCTCTATCTCCCTGGCACCCCCTCGTTGACTCAGTAACTGCTCAGAGAGCCTCTGCTGCACAAACGACCGGCTTGGCGCAGTCCCTGCTACTCCCCAGGCCCTCCTGGAGTGTGTGGGGGGAGGGGTTCATTAAAAGGGAGAGCCTCGCTTCGAGCCCTGGGTGCGTTGTCACCTTGGTGAAGGGTCTCCATTCATCAGCACAGAACATCCTGTCAATTACAGCAGCAGAACCCGAGAGCAGCGGGCACTTGGGGATGCATGTGCTACTGTCCTTGGGAGAAAGGGGTAGGATAACAAGTGTGTAAGCTGATGCTTTTTCTCTTAGCAACAGCTCAGGACATGCTGCTGAGCAACGGAGAAAGCAGCCCTCTCAGTGCCGCGGGACGGACGTGCAGGCGAGTCTCGGCCCACAGAGGAGGCGGGTGCCTGCTAGTCCTGGCAGGGCCACATGGTCTATTGATCACAATTGCTTGAGTGGGTCCTGGTTACCTCTGCGGCTGCCAAACCTCCCCCAGCCTAGCAGTTCCATCTGCCTTTCCCCTCCCCCGTGGAGACCCATAGTGCTACACTCTCATCAACACAGCCTGATTCCACGCCTCAAAAACTAAGGGGACATGACACAGCTATGTGTTACCGGCTTGAAATGCAGCTCGGGCACACAGGACAGCACAGCTCTGTCAACGCAGGGCCTCACTTCTTTTTTTTTTACAATATATTTTCTTTTTTAAAAAATACGTTTTTGTTGATTTTAGGGACAGAGAGATAAAAACATCAACAAGAGAGAATCATGGATCACCTGCCTCCTGCAAGCCCCACACTGGGAATTAAGGCCGCAACCTGGGCATGTGCCCTGACTGGGAATCGAACCATGACCTCCTGATTCATAGGTCAATGCTCAACCACTGAGCCACACTAGCCGAGCACAGGGCCTCATTTCCATGGAGTGTGGTCACCAGGGACCCATCAGGTCTCACAGACCAGTGCCACACCCATTTCCCAGGCAGCCTGGCCTCTCCAGCAGGTCGAGGTGGAGAGCACACACAGATCTCATCAGAGCCCCATGGACAAGGGTCCTCCCCTGCTGACAATCAAAGGCTCCCTGTGGACACCTCACATGTCCTCATGTCCAGAGCTCCAACCAGCCCTGCAGGCCATTCTTCACGGGTGAGCCAGGAAAGGGGGCTGGACAATCACAAAGCCCACACTGCTCCGGGGAGCTGGGCGTCACCACAAGAATGTAAGCGCTTGAATGAACTTTTTCATGGTAGTCTGAAACAGGGGTGCACAACACTGGCTGGCAATGCATTTAAATTTTGAATTTGTTTCTAAAATTTAAGCAGCAGGAAAGATCACAAACAATATGGATTTATTTGCAGCTACTCTTGAACAATCAGAGTATCTAACAAGGCTGGGCCAGCAGTTCCACATAGCAGCTGCCTCTGCAGAGGTCCCGCCACAGACCCCACCCCTCCCTGATGCCTCTCCACACCGAGGCAGCATCCATCGCTGTGCTGCCACAGTGGTTTCTCTTACATCCATCCTGCCTGCATCGGAGCCGGTGACCCTCGTGCCTCCCAACATCTGCCCACAGCCATTAAGAACAAGGGTATCATCTGCCCTCCACCTCGCCAGCTCCCACCCCATCATGAATACCAGCCTTTGCACAGCACCTCAACAGCAATGCCTCGAAGAGCCTCTCAGGGTTCTCCTGAGTGCCCCCTTCTCAAAGGAACCACCATTCGCTCTACCTTCTCAATTATGAAACTCAGGATCATCATGGGGAGGAAGGGAACTAGACAGCCAGGTTCGCAACATCAGACACCTGCATGTTAAACTTGCTATCAGGTGACCAGTCATGCCTGGGGCTGGGGCCTTCCTGTCCTCTTGCAGGAGACAAGTGTCAGCTGCTTCCCGGCTGGGGTTGGTCACAGACCAAGGCTGCCTGAAGTTCCATGGGCCTGAGCACCGGAGACCTGGCCCAGCCCCAGCAGAAAGCTTCCTGTCACCTTCCACGGTGGAGCAGGCCTGGGGCCTCCAGTGCCTCGGCCCAGGTGTCTCAGTCCATCAGCAGCCTGTACTTTTGTCAGACTCCATTTTGAGCCAGAGAATCAAAGGCACCTGACAGCCTGCATCACCTCTGTGGATGTGTCCTGCAGCACCCTCTCATTTCTGACAGGGCAAATGCAGAGGCGAAGGGCCAGGCCTCGGGGGTCCAAAAGTCCTAGGGGCACATCCCAACTCTGCTGCCCCAGCTGTAGGGCCGTGGATGAGGCCCTTCTCACCTCTGAGCCTCGGCCTCCTCCCTGTGATGGGGTGAGAGCCGTGGCCCACCATGGGACAGGTGGGGTGGGAGGGGAACGAGGGGATCTGTAGGAGCTGGCAATACTGAAGCCTGAAGGTGCCACCCTGGAGTGAAGACCTGTCTCACGGTCCACATGAGCCCTCGTGTCCAATGGCACCACAGCAGCAACAGTGTGACCAAACTGAGAACCGGCAACAATGATGGGGTGCTGTGAAGGCGCCTGAGCCTGAAGGAGGGCCCATTCCCTGGACTCCACCGAAGCCCTCGTGTAAGGTCCTGCTTCATAAATACAGACTCTGTTAGCTGAGCTGCGGGCTGTGATTCTACACTGTCATTACGGGCTTTCCTGTTCTGGCCCTCAAGACCTCCCCTGTTTTACTGTGTTTGGAGGCCAGTTCTCTTTTCTCCTCAGAAATTACAGCATGAATGAGGCTGAGTTCCCCCCAGGCACAAGATGCCTGACGGCAGCTGGGAAGGCTGCGGCACAGACGCTCCGACGCGGTGGGCTGAGTCCCAGGACCCGTCTCAGGCTGCCCCTCCAGGTTTCGCACTGAGGAGACCTGGAAGGTCAAGTTCCCCAAAGGCAGAAATGTTAAGATGCAGTTGATGGAGGCAGGAGGGAGATGCCAAAGGGGAGGGGGTATCAGAGCTGGTTGAGACCCAGGGCTGAGCAGTATGAGCAGGTCCCTCCCTCTCTAGCACTTGGAAACACAAGGTAAGTGGCAATGACCTTGTTAAGGGCATACAAATAAATGTTCAGACTACTTTAGATTCTATCCAAAGAGATCAATACATCAGGTCACGGGAGTATTAACAGACTCTTCTCAACCTTCCTAATGCCGCGACCCTTTAATACAGTTCCTCATGTGTGGTGACCCCCAAACATAAAATTATTTTCGTTGCTACTTCATAACTGTAATGTTGCTACTGTTATGAATCGTAATGTAAATATCTGATAAGCAGAATGTATTTTCATTGTTCGCGACCCACAGGTTGAGAACTGCTGCTTTAGATACTAGGAGTCACTCCCGGATAATTTGGCATTGAAATCACATGACATAACATAAAGATCCATCAAAAGTCCCCCTCTTTCCACAATCTAACCAGGCAGAGCGCTGCCAGAGCAGGCCCCCACAGCCCTGTGGACGTGAGCTGCGCTGCTTCACCGAAGCCCTTCTGGTCAGGCACCATCACACCCTGGTGATGATTCACCCATGCGGTCACCTTCTTCACCAGACCCTGCCCCTGGCTGCTGACTTCAGCCCTGGGTCTCAACCAGCTCTGATGCCCACAGGACCCTGACTGGGAAGGCAAAGAGCGTGAAAGTAAAGCCAGGGGAAAGAACCAGGCCTTAGTGACAAATACAGAGAGTCAAGGCAGGGTACAGACCAGAACACCACCAGTTCCACCATGACCACACCTGGTCCCAGGAGCCAGGGGAGGGTGCCAGTGTGGGCTGGAGTGACAGAAAGGCCCAGGCCAAGCCGGGAGGGCACATAGATCAGACTTTGCCAGAGACATCCTCCCCCATGCAGCTCAGCTCCACCACCGAGTCAGGGCACTGCCCTGCAAAGAAGAGGCCTGTCTCCTGGGAGATCTGAGGTACACGTTTCCCACCTGCTCTCTCCAAATGGGGCCACTGCTGAGGGGCTAGCGGTCCAGTGGTGGCATCCTGCGACATCCACCAGGCCGCGGTGGGAGAGGAGGAAATCCAGGGCAAAGGGGTAACTGAAGCCCTGAGTTGCTCAGAGAGGAGGCGGCGGCTACTGACCTCGTCTGTATACTGGACGTTGTCCACGGCATACTTCTCCTGGAAGTGCTCCTTGGGGTGGATCCTCAAAGACAAAAACAAGGAACACCAGGGTCAGGGTTTGGCCACCTCCTTGCCCCCAAGCCCAGGTTATGAAGCCCTGGCCCATCCCTATCCACTGGCACCTGGCACCAAGTGGGTCTGCCCATCACAGATTCAGGGGCAAAGTACTGGGCCACAAAGTCACTGCTGAACCACACCTGACCCCTCAACCTTACCCAGTCGACCTCTGCTCCTCCTGCGAGTCCGCACCCTGGCCGCCTGGAATAAGCCCACCAGGCAGCACTCCCACCCTTTGGGGCATGAAGCAAGCTGCCTCCCAGGCCCCACAGAGCCTCTTTAAAGGAAAGTTAAAGATTTAGCATCGTACAGAAGTCAATATCAGCATGACTCACTGTGATGAGAAACGTTCAAGCTTACTCATCAGCCCTGAGAAGTCAGCCAGTGAGAAGACAGAGAGCAGAGGAGGCTGGGCAGCCCTTGCCCACCTCACAGAGGACTCCTGGTCACGGCTGCTCTGGGCGGGTCCCGGCAAACACCACACCACCCCCAGCCTCTAGGTCAGGGGATGAGTCACTGTCACTGCCTGTGACAAGGCTCTCATGAGAAGAAGCACTAGACATGGAGGGGGGTGGGGGGTGCTGAAAACCAAGTCTAATGACGCACGCACCACCCCACGCCCAGGCACCACATCAGCACGGGTCTCGCTTAGGATCGCATGGTATTCTAGCCACCAAGTGTTAGAGCCAAAAGAGTCCTCAAAGGAAAACAGCAGATGGTTTCTAGACTGTGCTTCCTGGGCTCTCAAGGGTAAGTAGATGACAGGGGTGCTGGGCAGGCTCAGAGGGGACAGGGCAGGGAGGGCACTTCGGGATTCGGAGGTGGCCACCTCGAAGAGAGGGTTCCATGTACCTTTGAGACACACTCAGACATCACTACCCAGGAAGCAGAATCCCTCCCCTCTCTGAGCCCTGCACCACTTCCCTCTCTACCCAAGCAAGCATCCCAGCCCAGACTGTAATCCCAAAGCACAGAGTGAGGACCTGAGACAGACAAGTGGCCTCAGGGACCAGCAGCAGGGAGCCCACAGCCACACGCAGCAAGCTGGGCCGAGGAGACGATGGTCTCGCTGCAATGGGCTGCTCAGGGCCCCTGAACACTATTTGCTTCATTTCCCTTTGGATTCTCTGAAGTGGGCAATGGGTGTCAAGCTCCTACTGTTGATTAAATTTGCACAATCCAGGCAGGCACACTAACTTTCACAGTTGAGCCAGGACTCAAAGTTAAGTGGCCAGAGCCTGGTGCCTCCATCAGCACCACCTACAGCAGGAACTGACGACAAGCACTTGCTGGGGCACTGGAGGCCCCGGCTCCAAGCTTACCAGACAGCTGGCTGGCCCCTTGCTACTCAGGGGTGAGTGACGCTCTCAGCAGAGCTGGAGCTGCAGACGTGTGCAGAAGTGCACACCAGGAGCGCAAGAGGCCGCGCAAGAGGCTGCGCCATTGGCAGCGTCACCAATCACCCACTCTGACTGCTCTGGCTCCAGTCCCAGCCCCAGGACTAACAATCTGTTTCCTCAGAAAGTCCCCAAACCACCTCTGGGCCCATCACTTAATCACCTCCAGCTGTGACAGGCATCAAACGCAAACTCCCAAAAGACTGGGGAAGTGCCACGGACCTTCTTTCAAGACCAGCCTCAATGCTCCCTAAGACAGGCACCTTGGTGTTAGGGTGACTGTCACCCCCAATCCCAACGGGGACCCTAATCCTCCCAGCTCACCCAAGCCACTCAGCAGAGGGACGCCCAGGAAATGTGTTCCCGCCTCCCTGCTTGGGAGTCTTGGTGGTCAGGCCTCAGAAGACTTGACATTTCTGTGCACTCATCCTTTGGTCAAGGCCATAACAATGCGGAACTAGAGTAGGTGGGGGGAAGTAGGGGGCAAAAGGAAGGTGAGCACATGGCAGGTGTGATCTGTACGTAGCCCCAGGGTTGTGCGCTCAACTATCCACCCTTCACCTACCAACCACAAGTCATTCCACTTGCCACAGACGCTAAGGAGCACCAAGGGCCAGCCAGCCCACGGAGAGCCTGCCGCTGCCACCCTGATGTCCGGGAGGAAGTGCAGGTGTCACCCCACCAGATGCTCTCTGTCCTTCTCAAGAGCTGGATGACACAGTCCAGAGCGCACATGGGCTTCAAGAGCCAAAACCCCCAACTATCGATAGGCCTGGCTCTGCACAGGAAGACCCATTTGACAAATACAACCTGAAAGGCTGTGAGCATCTTTTCTGGCACTTTGCACATTATTCTTCTCTAAAGGGCAAAGATAATTAAGTTTGAATAGTACTATTTTTCATGTTTTAGAGCTAATTATAGTAAAAAACCACTTAAATATCACCCTGAGGAATAAGTGTGCCAGGTCACCATGTCAAGCCAGTGAAGGGAGGCTTGGCAGCCAAGACTTGGTGGGGCTGTCGGGAGGAGTGGCACGTCCACGCGAGCCCCGCGGAGCTGGCCGGAGAGGTCACTGGGCAGCTATAAGCCCGCTGAGGGCCAGCTGGCGGTGGCCACACAGAGGGCCTGCACCCTGCTATCTGGAGTTTGGGTCCAGTAGGCAGCTCAGGCCAGATCCTGTCATATGGGAGATCCAAACAGAAGCCGGCCCACCCCAGACACTCTCCCTTCTAATTGCCGGAGAGAGGAGTGTCCCACTCAAAGGAGGCCCTGCATCCAGGTGCAGCCAGTGTCTAGGGACCACCGTGCAGGCCTCTGCCAGCAGCTGGGGTGACGGGAAGCCTTTCCCAGATCCCAGGGTCAAGGCTGATGCAGCGAGTGCCACCACCTGTGCAGGCCTCCAGCAGGAAGGAGACAACATTAATGCCCATGGTTCAACTTCTAGAGAATGACATTCCTGAGCGCAGGTCGGCTGGCTACCTGATCACCTGCATGCGGTTAATAAAAAAATAACCTCGAAGTTAGAGCAGTTACCATCAATTCTCAGTGCCTAGACTAGAGCCTGCCTTCAGCGGCCAACAGTGCTGCTGCTTTCCCTCTGCCCTCTGCACAGGGAGCACCTGCTCTGGATCGGCAGGCAGCACCTTTTCAAGATCCCATCAGTTTGTCAGAGAAAAGCAAACCTCTCAGAAGCCATGCGTGCACCTGCTCCTGGTGACCACGCCTGTGAGTGGACCACAGGCAGCATTCCTCAGAGAGCAGGACAGGGAGAGCCCAGGCTCCGGGGGGAGAGCCCAGGCTCCGGGGGGAGGGCCCTGGCTCCAGGGGGAGGGCTAACCAAAATGATGCCTGCGATCAGTAGGGGGGCCATGGAGAGGCTCCCAACTGAGGATCCTGGCAAACCCCTGGCCAGGCCTCAGGCTGCCGGGACCAGGCTCCCCCAAACCACTGGGAGTAAGAGCCAGAGGAACTCCCTCAATCCTCCTCATGAAGTCCTGCACCCCCATCAGTGCCCCACACTCTCCCTTGAAGACAGAGCAAAGCCACCAGACAGGCTGAAGCAGCTTTGATCCTTGTGACCCAGGTGTGTGTACAGGGTGGGGGGCAGTGGCTGTGAAAAACCACATACAACACACTATAGACGTCATACACACCGAACCACATGCCACACCATACACACACATCACCCACCCTCACCCCACCCCTCTACTCCTGTGCATACACACCACCCCACTACACACACCCCACCCCCATGCACACACACCACCCCACTACACTCACACACACCCCCCACCACCCACCCACTCCGTACATGCACACACACCACATAGGCATACACACACACACATATCAGTTCCCATCTCAAAAGAGCAGTGCTCAGAGCCTCAGGCCTGGAGACATTCGCTCACACCACCCCTGGGCAGTGCCTCCTCCCTACAAACCCGGAGCCAGGCTCACTGTACTGAGCTCAAAGCCCCAGGTTCCCAACAGGAGCAGAACGCAACCAAGTTGCAAAGGCTCTAGGATGGTCCCCCAACTTGCCCAAAGTCACTCACCCTCTGCGGGTGCTGACACTGTCCAGGGTGCTTTTCCTGCCTTTTCCGAGAACCCGATATGCCAGCAGTTAAAGCTGCCGTCAGCTAAGCCTGACTCTGACAAAAAAGATGGGAACACTCTCGCATCAGAAAGGCACAGACCCATGTAAGCAGACTCCACATAAAAACAAATTTGAAACTACCACACTCCTGTCCCAAAAAAGGCTTGGGGTGAGGAACAGGCCCAGCACCAGGCTGCCCACATGCCCCTCAACGCCTGCGGCCAGACAACAGGACAGGCTGTTTACGCAGGAAGTGGCAGATCTGCAGATGGGGGTGTTGTTTCCCTGGGCAACTTTATCTGCCAGGTGGATTTTCAAAAGCCATCAGATAGAGGCTCAAAAGGAAGCTGAGGAGCTGAAGGTCAAACGTTCCGTCTGGTGGGCTTTGATTGCAAAGGGCAGGTAATCCCATCAGCCTCACTCCTCCCGAGCTCTACTGAGTATGAGAGCGCCTGGAAACGGCCCCACATCAGATCTGCCTCTCCCCAACTGCAGCTCCAAACAAGCAAGCCCTTAGTGGTACCCTGTTTCAATCATGCCTTCTCTCCCCAACGCGCAGGACAGGAGGGCCAGGAGACGGTCAGAGCACAGGAAGAGAAGGCCACTGTGGGGAGCCAGGCCTGCAGGAGACAAGGCTGAGCTCTGCACCGGAGCCGAACACCCTTGGGACCACCGTGCTCCGTCTGGCTGCCAGTGTTTTCATGGAGCCTGTCTGACAGGCGGACCCACCCTGCAGACCATTTGTACCCTCAAAGGCCAGCCAAGCCTCTATGTCCGCAGTACACAATCAGCTGGCTTGGCAAAGCAGGGCAGACTAAAGGAGAACGTATAACAGTGGCTCTGAAACCCAGCCATGGCCACGCACAGAACATTATTCCTGTATCACTGAAGATTACTCTCCGGAAGAGCCAACTGCTAATAGCTGTCCCCGACCAATCAGGCCCTGGGCATAAACCCTCCAGTCAAGTGCCCGTGGCCCCCAGTTGGTGGCTGCGGTGAGATTCCCTCAGGCTTCCCATTGGAAGGCAGGGTCCAGGTTTCTCCTCCCACAAGCCTGGAGGATGCCCTCCCTCCAGGACAGAAGTCTTTACCACTTCTGCGTAAAGAGGCAGACAGACTCACAGATGAGGAGATGCGCTCAGAGCCCCTCCCCACATCCAGACAGACCCTGGTCAGGCCGGCCTTCCACCACTGTCCACGCCCACACTGCACGGAGGAGCCAGGAGGCAGGGCCACAGGGAGGCTGAGGGCATGGGCGCCACCAGGCACAGGGGCCCTGGCTAATCCTGGACATGTCACTGGGAAGAGAAGCTGAGGCTTCAGCTCTGTGGTCCCCTCAGGGTGCAGGAAGGGCTCTGGGAGAAGCCTCTGAGGAGACCAGATCCAAGCTGCCATCAGGAAACTCCTCACCAAGACTGTCCTGGGCACCGGGGCTTCAGCACAAACCCCCCGCATGTGGGGGAGCACAAACACATACACCTCTGCCATGAACTCATGGCAGAGCCCAGAGAGGCGCATGGCTCCACAGGGCCTGGGACCTCAGAGGAGGACTCGGGGGCTGGGCTTGGAGTCACCGCTCTGGTGACAGGTGCCTCTGCTCCTCTCCACACGGTCTCTCCACACGGGCGAGCATGGGCTTCCTCACAGCACAGCAGCTGTGTCCAGGGCAAGTGTCCCACGAACGAGAACCAGGCAGAAGCCACAGTGCACTTGACACTCCAGCTTCAGGGGCCACACGGTGACCCTGCCACATTCCCGCCTCAAGGCAGCCACCAGGTCCTGACCCGAGTCAAGCAGGAGGGAGAAGACTCCACCTCTCCACAGGGCGTGGCCATTTCTGGAAATTATAACCGGTCTGTTCCTGGCGTCCTCACCACCTCATTTCAGGGTCACAAGTGTAACCACCTCCACAGTGACAGGGCCTCACCAGTGGCGCTGTCGCAGTTCCACAGATAAGAAACCAGAGGCCCCGCAGTGGCCAGTGCGGAGAGACCACTCTCAGCCGCCAGCAGGCTTCCAGCAAGACAGGCCGTGGACTGCACAGGCCAACCCCATTTCCTCTCTAAAGCAGGCAGCCGTAGGGATTCCGCCAGGAGCGGAGTAAAGGTCGACTGTGAAGGTCACAACGCCATGGGGAGGCAAGAGCTGGGTGAGGCCAGAGCCGCCTTCCCAGGAGCACCTGCGTGGCCTGCCTGGGTCTGCTGAGCTAGCAGGAGAGTGCCCGATGGACTGAGGAGAGCCTGCTCCAGGCCAAACCTGAGGCCCATTTCTCTGCCGGCACAAGACTCACTCTGGTAAAGCAGGCAGTCTACCTCAGAGGCCTCCTCCAAGTCGCCCTCCACACCCCACGCAGGGCTGGGGCAGTGCGGAGCCTCTGGGGGCTCTCACTGGGCCCTGCTCAGCCATGCCCAGTGCCCTGCCCCTCTGGGAAGAAGGCAGCAGACCCTCCAGTGCCCCCTCCGCCCAACGCATGACACAGCAGGGAAACGTTTATGTCATCTGCCCAGGGATGTCTGAAAGGGCAAAACTTAAGTGGTTGCCCAGCCATCCACCACAAAGGCCAACGGGATTGGGCATGTCCACTCCCTCCCCAGGGCCAAGCCAGGTAAACACGCTGCCAGGAAAAGCCCACCTGCTTCTCTCACGCTGCCAATTCTGCTTGGAGCTGAGTCTTCACAGCACAATCGAAGGCTCAGGGCCAGGGATCCCGCCAAGCGGACTCAAAGCAGAACTGTTACCAGCTCATGAGGCGAACCCCTCAGCTCAAGGCAGCAGAGGAGGCACAAGCCAGGCCAACAAAGGAGGCTATGGGGTTGGCACTGAAGGGCTGGTGGGGAAGGGCGGCACGTGAAGCAGAGGCGTGCAGAGGGGGCCTGCCCTGGCCCTCTGCACAGAGCATGTCCCTGCAGCAGCCAAGTGCCTTGTCATTCAAACCAGCCACAGACAGGCCTGCGCACCTGGTAATGAGTGTTCAGGGACGCGAGGCAGTGAAGGCTGCAATTTATACATTAGCCCACAATAATCACTCTCCAGGCAGAAATGACACGCTGGAAGGTGGTAACTAACCATTTAGCGGGATCCTCTGATCACCTCAAGTGTCCCCGGTTAAGTACAGCTTCCGCCTCAGCACCACTGCTGAGAGGAATGGCTGCTGAGAGAGGTGGACACGGCCAAGGGCCCTGGAGCTGGCAGGTGCCATGGGTGATGGGGGAGGGGTGTCTCAGCAAGGCCCAGGCCTCTGCTCCCGCACTTCTCACACAGTGCTACCCCATCTCAGGTGAGCCGGCTAAGGCAGGTTACACATCTGTGGCCCTTGGAACTTAGCCAAGAGGCGGGCACACAGCAGGCATCCAGTAATGCCCTGCTGTTAGTGCTGGGCCTCAGAGAAGGGCCCTAGGTTGTCCTCTCTGACTGGAGCCAACTCCCACCACACCCACTGCGGGGCCACCTGCCATGGAAGCCATGCAGGAGTGCTGGTCCACTGAGCCAAAGCCTCAGGCACTTTAACAAAGCCAGGAATACAGAATTTTAAGATTAATAAGCTGTATCTCTAAACAAAAGTGACCACAGTTATGGCTCTGGCGCTGACACCCCTTCCCAACTGAGGGTGCAGGGCTCTGGCCCAGAGCAGGCTGTCAACAGGCCTGACCACTAACCCCCCGACCCTTTGCTACTCTTCCCCTCCTTGCAATCCACAAAAGGGCCCTACACCCCCACCCCTGGCCAGCCGGCCTCAGTGGGCACAGTGACATCACCCAGACTGCTCCTTACTTGCCCATCCAGGTGGCATGGCTGGCAGGAAGCCTAGGCACAAACAGCGTTGACTTCCCGGTGTCGATGTTAATCACGCCGTAGCAGCCCGGCTCAGTGACTCCGAATGCCCAGTGAAAGAAGGACTCCTGTGGCAGGAACGAGGACCATGGTTACCCAGTCAGCAGGACAGAAACACGAGGATCAAGGGAGCCGGGGCACCTGCCTCAGGCTGGCCGCCCTCGAAGACTGGCCCCCAGCCTCACACAACCCTCCATCTCAGCTCTCTGCCCCCACTCCGGCTTCGGGCTGCCTATCTCTTCCTTCCAGGGTTTGGCAGGGGGGCAGCCTGGCTGGCTCCTCTGGCACTGCTTTGAGCCTTTTCTGATGATATGTTTCACACACATGCCCCAGGCCCACCTGTACCCCCACCTCACTGGCCACACCCCTTGGCCCTTGAGAGGGCAGAGGGTACCCATGAGCACTACAGGTCCAGCTCAGCCCTGCACATGCCCCTCTGCCACCTGAATCTCTGCAGCCTCAATGCCGCAAGCAGGCAAGATGCCACCGTGTCTTAGACACCAGTCTGGATATCTGCACGGAAATGGATGCCTCCACTTAGGACTTCTTACTTCCTTCTCCCACCCCCGGGGCTGCTGCTGACTTCCGTGTTTAGCAATAAACACTGAGCTAAAATATCGGCAGAAAGGTATAGCAAGTGGAGGAGGAACTCTTCTAAAATTAACCTTGCAGAACATCAGTGATGGAGCCAACAGCTGAATTTAGGAGATCAGTTTTTAAACCACAGAACATGTAAACTTCAAGAGGCATCAAGACATGTCAGAAAAAAATTTAGACCTCCACGTCTAGCAACCAGGGGACTGCAGGCTTGTGACTACAAGAACAAGGAGGCAGAGGGAAGCCTTACAGTAGGAGGCACTTTCAGTAAAAACACTGTCATCGCTCTCGGCAGCGGATCTCAGCCAGTCTGTGCCCTGTGGAGTGGACAGTCCAGCTGGGGAGGCCAGGCCTTGCCACCTCCTCTCCACACTCAGCTCCCTTCACGTTCCCCTGCCTCCTCCCCGAGCTGGATGCTGGATGGCCATATCCCCTAGGCCCTGGATGCTGGGTGGCCATATCCCTAGGCCCTGGATGCTGGTGGCCATATCCCTAGGCCCTGGATGCTGGTGGCCATATCCCTAGGCCCTGGATGCTGGGTGGCCATATCCCTAGGCCCTGGGTGCTGGTGGCCATATCCCTAGGCCCCTGGCTGCTGGTGGCCATATCCCTAGGCCCTGGATGCTGGATGGCCATATCCCTTAGGCCCCTGGATGCTGGATGGCCATGTCCCTTAGGCCCCTGGCTGCTGGTGGCCATATCCCTAGGCCCTGGATGCTGGTGGCCATATCCCTAGGCCCCTGGATGCTGGGTGGCCATATCCCTTAGGCCCCTGGATGCTGGATGGCCATGTTCCTTAGGCCCCTGGATGCTGGGTGGCCAAGTCCCTAGGGCCCTGGATGCTGGGTGGCCATATCCCTTAGGCCCCTGGATGCTGGATGGCCATGTTCCTTAGGCCCCTGGATGCTGGGTGGTCTGTCCCCTAGGCTCTGCTTGTCCCCAGGGAGGTCCTGGAGTTCCCAGTGTGTCAGGCCCCAGCTCTGGGCATGGCAGGGAGAAGTAAGCACTAGACTTGGAGTCCGGAGACAGGGTTCTAATTAATCCCAGCTTCACTCTTGGAGCCTTGATTTCCTCATCTGTAAAGTAGGTGCAATGCTAGGATCAACGAGAGTGGGGCCAGCTCAGGGCCTCCCTGGTTTTCTCAGTGAGCTCCTCTGTTGAGTGTCCTTGCTCCTACTCCTGGGAACTGGGTGATGTCAGCGATTCTCAGCCAATGCCTCCACATCCAGACTGGCTTCCTGCAGCTGGGCCATCTGCCACCCCACAGGTTTCCAGAACCTCAAGGAGCTCCTGGACCGCTTCCCAGGTGAGGGTCTCAGGGTCAGCATTGGCCAAGCTGGGAAGAATGCCTGGGCCTCCGGCTCCTGCTCAGCACCCTGCTCACAAGCCTCCTCCCTGACCTCTGCAGCCCTGTCCTCCCTGCTGCAGGCAGAAGAGACTGAGCCCCCCCATCTGCACCTCTCTCTGGCCTTGGGAAGCTGCCCAGCCCACCTTCTGCCACCCACTCCTATGGACACCATCCCCCCACCTGGAACACCCATCCCCAGCACCACCTGTCAGAATTCACCCTGGCCTCCAGCAACCACACCAAACGCTGCCTCCTCCATGAAGCTAGCCTGCTTGCTCCCCCAGAAATATTATCCTTCTGTACTGACCCGAGAGAGCTGAGACTGGCTGGTGACAGCTCTGCCCCAGGAATGCAGGCTTCCTTGGCGCCCAGGCCCAGGCCTACCTTCAGAGAGCCTCTCAGGGTCCCTCAGGAAACAAAGCTGCCCAAGGCCCTCCAGGCTGGATGCTGGAGGAGGGAGGCAGCCACCGGAGGCCTGGTGCACGCCTGGAGTGGGGGAGCTGCAGGGGTGGGCTCACCTGACGGAAGAGGACCCCGGTGTCCGTGCAGTAGCGCTGCGTCTCCTCCCCACCCTGCAGCAGCACAACAGAGCCAGCCTGCACAGCCGGGTTCTTTCGCAGACGCTCACACAGGCGCTGCCTGTTCAGGGCAAAGAGGGCCAGAGGCACCTTCAGGGTTTCGTTCCCCAGCCAAAACCAAGGTCTGCAAAGACAAGAGCACACACAGCCACACAGGCCTGTTAGCACCGCCAAGCACGGCCACCGCGGTAGTCTGAGGTGACCAGAGGGCTAAGCCTGACATGGGACCCCATGAGCACAAGGCTCCTCACCGGCCTCCCGAGGACCACAGGGGCTTTTCAACCACAGCCTCCCCTACTGCCCCTGAGCGCTGGGCCACATGGGGTGATGTTACCAGAGCAGGTGAGGCACAGGGAGGGAAAGCCTGCAATGGTTTGGCGACATACTCAATTCCTGCCCTCAAGGACCTTACATCCATGCCTGAAAACACATGATCTGGCCCAAACAACACTGCATCCCTGCCCAGGCGCCTGCATGCTGCCATCTTCTCTGCAAATCACAGACCTGCAGCTGGGCTGGCCGTTCCTCACATACACACACACACACACTCACACACACTCAGGACACCCCCCCACACACACACACCCAGGACACCCAGC